CGAGATCCTTTTCATCGTATTCGATTTTTACTCGGTATGGGATGGCCCTATCAACCCTCTCGAGAAACTTCTTTGGGTGTGCAAAACCTGGTCGAGTGCAGCAAAGCAACACAAGGCTTTGTGGTCATCGTTTCATATCCAAAACTACACGACTAAAATCCTTCGCTTCTGGTCTTCACGATTGTTAGACCGTTTGAAGCGTTGTGGCGCTGCAACTCTTCTTGATATTGATATCCAATATGTGCAGTTCGCACCTAAAGGAATGTACGCAGATTTGGTTCTGCATGTCACTACCTTGCTTACCGCGGAGAATGTATGTTTGGTGGGGCAGTGGAAACGGTTGTCGATTGGTGGTCCACCACCACCACCAGCTCGGCATCTTTGGAACCAGGCCTTGTCTCGACCCACGCCTAATCTTCTTGATTTTCAAGCCAGTAACTTGGTTTTTGAGATGCCCATTCTTCCTTTCGCTCCTCTTCTAGAGCATTTGACCGTAGTTGATTGCTCATTTGAGATGGGCAGCACTCTTAAACAACTAAAGACTCTAGCAGGTGACGTGACAAGAATAAGGAATTTGGAAGCCTCGCTGCACTCCAATAGACTTATGAGTCTCCAACTCATCGATTATCGCCCCTCTTCTCACTTGACAGCTTATTTTCCTCTTCTGGTAGACCTTTCTGTGGAGGGGCGTTGGACGAACAGTTTCTACAGCGATTCTCAGCACCAAATCTGCGATCCCTCAGGATCTGTGTAGACCACCCTTGGGACGTTACAGCTATGGCACTGTGCAAAGGAATAGCCTTTCATCAGCTCGTAACACTGCATCTGGACTGTCTAATAGCAGATATAGGCGATTATACAAAGGCAGCCATGGGAATGAGAGAGATTATAAAGGCTTCCACGAATGTGGACCAGTTTGAAACGGCGGGCCCTCTATCCTTGCGTATATTGCTACTATCTCTGCAAGAAGTCTTTCAATCAGGGCTCCAACGTTACACATGCACCGTTAAATCAACCGGCTTCAAACCACACCTCGCCAAATCCATTTTCACTATTGATCCTAAAAATGGGTTCACAGATATTGAATATATCCGACAGGTTGAAAATATGCCTCTCCCTGATACGTGGGAGAAGATTACCTTGGATTTTTATTGACCTTTCTATCGTTGGACCTGATTTTTGTTGGTATTATTGTCTCTCGCGGGCTCAATAAACTATTGTCATGTACCTAGACTATCGATATGTTCAAATTCTCTAGACGCTTACCAATATTTCGTAATATTAAATTGAGCATCAATGGCTGGGTGTGTCAGAAATGTGGCCTTGGTTCGCAACTAGTTTCGACTACTTGATCCCGACCACATCTGCGGAATGGACAGAAAAGAGGTACATATCATCTCATTCTTTATCAAATCACGTCATAAATGATTCACCCTTTAAACTATACTGTTAGGATTCTTGTCATTAGCAAGCTCGCTGCCAGCGCAGCAGGCTAGTGTAAGCAGGACAGGCTCATCGTATAGCCGCCGCTTTCATGCTTTCTAATCATTCTAAATCATTCTAGATGTTTCGTATTATTCGTTTTAGCTTATATAAGTAGTTAGAAACGAGT